GTGCCCCACCTGTGAGAGAGCCAGGGCTCCCAGCTGGGCAGCAGAACAAGGACGGCGACTGGGGATCTCTTATGGGTTGAACCGTGTCCCCCCAAATGCACACGTTGAAGTTCTACCCCCGGCACGTTGGGAAGGGACTGTGCTGAGCGTGGGGCTGGAAGTGGAGCGCTGACTTCTCATGGCCCAGGGACGGCGGCGTTGGGGCCACGGGAAGCAGAGACCACCTGGGGGGTGGCAGAGTCAGGTCCGTCCTGAGCGGAGCGGACCTGCCGGGCGTTGGCGAGAGCCAGGGAGAGTGTTCGGGCGGGTCCCGAGTGCCCAGCCTGCTCCGGGCGCCCGTGGGCGTTTATTCTGGCCGTTTACGGGACGCCGAGCCCCACTTCCTCCTGGGAGGTCTCGGTTGGCCGAGCCAAACGAGGGGCCGTGGCTGCTCCCGGGGGAGGTCACCTGTTCAGCTGTAGCCCCCGGCCGGAGGGCGGGACAGGCCACAGGTGTGGATGGGAAGGGGGCACCTGGGGACACCGCGGCCCCCGCCTTCCCTCCCCAGCGTGCCCAGGTGCGGTGCAGGCCGTCCTGCCGGTCCTGGCTCAGACAATGCGCGATTGTGCAGGGGCGACCCAGGCGCAGGTCGGGGCTTCGTCTGCTGAGCTGGAGCTCCTGCCCGTCTCTCCTCCGTGCCCAGGTGCCGGCCGTGCCCCGTCCCCCCCGCCACCCTCCTGCTGTCTGTCCCTGCCCTTCCCTCCACCTTCAACCCCAGGGACCAGCTTTTGGGGCTGGGTGGGCGGGGGGTAAAGGGCAGTGACATGCCCCTGCCTCCATGGGCTCCCTCCCCGCAGCTGCTCTGCTCCCCTGGGCTCCACTCCTGACTCCGCACCCCTCGGGAAGCTGAGCTCGGTGGGTGCAGCTCGAGCTTGGAGCTCCTGTCTCGGCACCACTGGGCTCTCGGGGGCCACCTGCCCCGGGCAGGTCCCCTGGGGCCTCCTGGGAGATGGTGAGCAGGTCACGCAGGGACCTTGCTCTTGGCTCCTTGCCCCCGACCTCAAGTCACCCTGCGCAGCTCTGCCCGCGGAGGGGCTGCTGGGGTCTCATCCTGGCAAGGGCAGGCCTCCCCGGCGTGGGTGGTGAGGCCCCGTCCTCAGCCCCCCCACTGCAGAGGGGCACTTGGGCCCGGCCGGGCCTCTCAGCTCAGAGCTCCTCCCGGCCCCGCTTGGACGCCCAGCACCTGCCCCTCCCTCTCCCTGCAGGGTCCCCAGCTCCGTGTCCTTCCCCAGGGGCCAGGCCAAGGTCACCCTCCCTCCCGCTGCTCATACGCAGCCCTGTCAGTACTTTCTGAGAAAACACGGTTGCAGGATGCAGGCTTCCAAATGTCACTGCTCGGAACAACAACAGAGTGTTTTGACGGGCAGCTCCTCACACGCGGCCTGGACTCCAGCCGCACCCTGGAGCCCCAGCATCCGCCTGACCTGCGGCCCCCTCCTGGCCGGGCCCCTGCGTGTTGCTCAACAGAGAGAGCCGTGTGCAGACTCTTCCTCTAAGGGTGCTCGGCCCCGGCCCCACCCTGGCTGTCCTGGCAGTGGGGACAATGCTCGTTAGGGTTCCAGGTGCTTCAGTCCTCACTGACTGAGCCCTCTTGACAGCCTTGTGACGCAGGCGCTGTTGTCACCCGAGCCGGGCAGGCGCGGGGCTGGGGCGCGGAGGGGAGGGGCTGGACAAGGCCACGGCGGCACAGCCGGTGGGCGCAGAGTCTGGGCCCCGAGCCCGGTAACGTGCACCAGCGTGACAGGCACAGCCGCAGCCTGCGGGTGACAAGCGGATTAAAATTGTCCTACGGCAAAGGACACCATCTGCAAGGTGACAGGCAAGTGACAGACTGGGGTGGGGGGAGAGACGCCAGCCACTCAGTGAGCAGAGGTGGGTCGACGTCCAGCACAGAGAACCGAACAAGGACAAGGGAAACCCGGAGACTGGGCCAGGGGTCCGCATGGGCCACTCCCAGAGGAGGAACCGCGTGGGAACAACACCACGCCTTCCACCGCCAGGCGTGCCGGGTCGCGCTGGGACGCGGAGGCCGCCAGGGGACACGGACGGCAGGTTCCTCTCCTCGGGCTGAGGGCCGGGTCGGGGACACCCCAGCGCTCCCCACCACCGTGAGGGAGAACTGAAGTGGGTGGGCACAGCAAGGCCACCCCAGAGCCGGGCGTGGGCGCGGTGGCTCACACCTGTGATCCTAGCACTCTGGGAGGCCGAGGTGGGCGGATTGCTCAAGGTCAGGAGTTCGAGACCAGCCTGAGCAAGAGCGAGACCCTGTCTCTACTATAAATAGAAAGAAATTAATTGGCCAACTAATATATAGAAAACATTAGCTGGGCATGGTGGTGCATGCCTGTGGTCCCAGCTACTCGGGAGGCTGAGGCAGGAGGATTGCTTGAGCCCAGAAGTTTGAGGTTGCTGTGAGCTAGGCTGATGCCACAGCACTCTAGCCCGGGCGACAGAGTGAGAATAAGAACGGGGGTGGGACCTGGAGCAGTGAGCTCCCGGAGGAGGGCCGCGGTCCTGGTGGCTGCACCCTGCCTGCGCTGTGCCGCTCTCTTGGGTGTCCGTCCTGCTTCGGGGTCGGGTTCTGTCCTGGCGGGTGCCACCAGGTGGCACCCGGGTACCGCAGGGCGGAGGGCAGGGGCCCTCTCCACGGCCAACCCCACCGAATCCCAGCCAGGCCCCTGCGCCCCCTTCTTGGCTTGGCCTCAGCCTTGGCCCAGGAGACTTGGACACCCTCCGACACGGCTTCTCCAGGCCGAGCCCCAGGACACCCCCGCCCCTCCTCCCGAAGCTGCCCGAGGGACCCAAGCCTGCGGGGACGTCCTGCTTGAGGCCTGCAGCGCCTGGGGGTGGCCTGGCCCCCGCCCGGGCAGGAACCTGGCTCCGGGAAGCCCCCATGCGACACCTGGTCCAGGGGACCTGCCCTGTCTGCTTCTGTGACTTTTCTCTCTCCTGACCCCTCGGAGCCCCGGGGCCCCTCCCCACTCCCCCCTGCGCCCAGACAGCTGGTCCCCACTGTGCGGACAGGACCAGAAGGGAGTCCAGTCCCCCACGTGACGGTGATCCCTGATCTCAACCTCCCTCCGGCTTCGTCTCAGACACGGTCTGCAGCAGAGCCCGGCTGGACCCCCAGTGACGTGGGGAGGGCAGGTCTCCTGCCCTGGACCCGGCCCAGGCTGCTCCCCAGAGACTCAGGGCACCCATGACCCAGTGGGGGGCTAGAGCCACCCCCAAAGGGCCCCCGAGAGATGCCACAAGGCGGCGGCTCTGAGCCCCTCCCCGGGCAGGTTGGCGTCCCTGCGCCTGGCCCCAGGGACCCCCTGCGGTGGCCTGGCCGGGCGCCCGCTCAGAGCCCTCCTCCCCGGGTCTGGCTGCTCTGGGGTGCCCTCCTGGGCAGAGGGCGTCTGTCTTGCTGAGTGAAGGAGGCCGTGGCCCCTGTGACGTCGGGGGTTGTCAACATGCTTTTCCACTGAAAATAAAACCGACTTTCACCGCGGCAGGCAGGCGGGCGGGTGAGACGTGGGCAGCGCTGTGCTCACGCCCGTGCAGGGCCACGCTGGCACCAGGCGTTGGGGCGTGTCGCCCACAGCCGAGGGTCTCACGGGGCCAGACTCGCCTCCCATTGTCTGAGCCACTGCCCGGCTGTGACCTGACCGGGGCCGCCGCAGCTGCCCACGGCGACGTGGTCTCTCGGTGATTCTTTCAGCCCCACCCCTCAACCCTGGGGCCCGGCCCCTGCACACCACCGGCTCCCCCACCTGGAGGACCCAGGGTGGGGCTGCTGTCCGCCGGACGGCAGGGCCGGGCTGAGGACCCCCTGCTAGCTCTAGGCTCAGCTCCCCTCAGTGGCTCCTTCCAGGGAGCAGGCAGGGCTCTGCCCACGGCCACGCCAGGGCACCTCCTGTGCTGAGGGTCAGCCCCTCCCAGCACCCCTCTGCTGTGCTCCCCAAATGCTGCCTTTCCGAACCGGCAGGCCGGCACTGTACGGGCCTGCGTGTTCCAGTCTCGGCTCAGCGGCCACACCGGGAGCTGGACGGGGTACAGGAAGCTGTGGGTGCCTCCCGCCCACCTGTGCCAACGGAGCGGCCCGTCTCAGCACCGAGCGCCTAGGAAGGGGCGCTGCAGCTGTGCCCGGCCTGGCGTGCCCGGGGGAGGGGCCGGCCCCCCAGCCTGCACTCCCTGGCAGCTCAGCTCAGCTCCCCCCAGCCACAGGGTGTGGACGGCCCCGTTCAGACAGCACAGTGGGCTTGGGGCTGTCCAGCGACCCCAGCCTGGCCACCCGGTGTGTCCCCTTTGCAGAGATGGGGGGGGGGTCGGGCGGCGGCCGTGGGTTGGGTCTCTGCCGCAGGAGGGTCTCGGGGCCTCAGTTGCACGTGCAGGAAGGCGGTCTCTGTCCCCAGGACCCGGGAGGGCGGAGGTTCCCTGGGCTCCTGGGGACTGGCTGGGCCACCGTCAGGGGCAGCCCGGGAGTCCCGGGCGGTGATGGGGGCGGGGCGGCACCTGCCGGCATTTCACCGGGTGACAAGGAGGGAGGGACACATGCTTTTTCATCTTAACTATTTATGTTGAGAGAATCGTAGACTCGTGCACGGTTCTGAGAGATAACTGTGACCCCGACCCTGTCTCCCCCCTTGTCCCCGGGGGCAGCGGCCGCTACTCCCGCCCTGGCCCGTTCCCCCGTGTGTGTGCCTATGCCTGTTCCTTCTGTCACACGGCGGGGCCGTGCGTTCATCACCGCTGCTGGGGCCCGGAACGTTCCATCCCCTCGAGGACCCAGCAGCCGTACCCGCTTCTCGGTCCTGACCTCCGGAAGCCCCGCTCTGTCCCCCGCCTCTCAGCTCTGTCCTCGCCCACACCGTGAAATGGGACCACGAGGCAGGGACACTGCCGGGCCCCCCCCCCCCCCCCGCCTTCCTCTGCTGAGCTGTCCCGGGCATGTGTGACATTGGGGGCTGCTGGGCTGTCTGTGGCCGGGTGGTGTCGCACGGAGCTGCGGTGCGAGTTCTGGAGAGGTTCGGGTGGACAGGGTCCCGGTCTCTGATGAAGAATCTCCCATGGGCAGGAGGGGTCTCGGGAGGGGAGGGGGCTCCGGGGGGTCTTTTCTGGGAATGGTGCCTGTGCCCGGGGGTGGAGGGGACTGGACGGCATCGCCAGAGAGACATGTTCGTGTGCTGGTGCCGGGGTGCCTGTGATGGGGTCTGCACATGCGGTGGAGTTGCCGGTCTCGAGAGGAGGAGATGTAGGGCCCGGGTGGCCCCCAAGCTGATGATGACAACTGTCATTACAGGAGGAGACAGGGACAGAGAGGGAAGAAGACAGCATGAGGCAGGAGTCGGGGTGATGCAGCCACTGGCCAAGGGACATCTGGGGCTGCCAGCAGCCGGCGGGGACAGGAAGGGTCCTCCCCTGGAGCCTCCGGAGGGGGCGGCCCTGTGGCCCCTGACCTCAGACTCGGGGGCTCCGGAGCCGCGAGGGAGCACACCTCGCTGTCCCCAGCCCCCCCACCCCCAAGGGCCCTGTTTCAACGCAACCTCCCCCCCACCCCGTGACATTGTGTGCGTCATCAGTCAGTCACCAAGCACTTTGTGCATTGTTCCCTCTGCAGGAAAAGCCAGCAGACGGTGAGGGGGAGGGCACCAGTGTCCGTGCTGGGCCGGGACCCCCGGCCTTCTGCCCTGACCCCGAGCCAGCCCTGTCCCGCCTCTGCCCCGTCCCACCTGGATGCTCACCCACCGGAGGCCTGGGCGTGCTGCACCTCTGCTACTTTTAGAAGCAGTCATCTGCAAGACAGGACGGGGGGGGGGGCTCAGATGGGGACCTCCTGGGAGCCCCCCACCCCACCCCGAGAGGCCCTCGGGCTCTCTGGGCAGGACGGGGCTGGAGCTTGTCTTCCTCCAGCCGCTGCCGTGGCCCCAGCCCGTGGCACCCACCTAGCCTGGTCATCTCGATGATGTTTTTTGAGCTCAGTCCGTACTTTTTGCAGATTGCTTTGAATTTGTCCAGGAAGGAGGACTCCAGATATGGGTACCGTCCTGGGAACAGATCGGGGACTCGGTGTTGGGACAGCCTTGGGGAGGCGACTCAGGCAGGACTAGGACCCCCCACCCTGACTGCGTCTGTGGGTGCAGCCAGCAGGTGGGGACGCCCCCCACACACACACACATCTCAGGGCGTGGCGCGGCTCCCCGCCCAGGGTGGGGCTTGGCTCCGGAGGAGGAGGAAGAGGAGGCTGCCCCAGGGGACCAGGGGTGGGTACCGTAGAGAGCCAGCACTTGGGTCTTGGTCCCGTTCCTGATGTTCTGCATGTGCAAGGTGATTTGCTGGTTGTAGTCCGTCTCAAGGATGGTGACCGTGTTCTCCCCCTTGTCTGCGTGGAGACGGGTCTCAGCGAGGCCCCACCCCTGCCCGCCCCGGGGTTCTGCGACAGGTGTGCTGGTGGCTTCGCGCCCCTCTGTGGTCGGCCTGCAGACCCCGCTGTCCCTTGGGCTGCCTGCCGCCTCCCGGAGCCCAGCCCGGCACCCGCCTCCCCGTGGGCCTGGGCCGGGAGCCCCCCGGGACTGGTGCCAGGCCGGGTCCCCTCGATTCGGGGCCAAGCTGTCGGGGTCCCATAAAATCCCCTCAGTCGGCGCCCACTAGCAAGTGGCCGAGGCCTGGAGAAAGGGAGTCACTGGCTGTCCGAGGAGGCCGCGCCCCACTCACAGGCGATGGAGAACGCCCCGTTCTGCCGCGTCTTCATGCAGACCACGTCCACAGTCACGCACTGGCGCTGCACCCTGCGGGCGCGGAGTAACGCCAGGGCGCCGGGCGGCACACAGTGTCGGGGCCACAGGCTTCCCCGTCCCGGCGCCCCGGGCCCGTTCCACAGCCAGACACCGCCAGGCGCCCCATCATCTCACCAGGCGTGGCGGGCAGCCCTCCACTCCCGCCACCCTGCCCTGCGGTCCCCTGTCCCCCAAGGGGTCACCCACTCCGCCCGGGCCCCCGAGGCGCCTGAGCTAGTGAGTGCTGGCTGGCTGGCTGGGGTGGGGTGGGGTGGGGTGGGGTGGGAGGGGGCCTCCCCCAGCCCCAGCCCCGCGCCGGGGGACACCCACTTGAAGCGGAAGTTGAATCTCAGGCTGCCGTTGCTCAGGTGCTCGATGCTCCGGACGAACAGCCGCAGGTCCCCGTTCTCCTGGATCCAGCCCATGTCGTCCGAGGCCGTGGCGACCGAGAACCAGTCCCCCTCGACCTGGGGGAAGGTGCTGGCGGGTGGGCCTGGGACGGCCACACCACGGGGGGACAGACAGGCGCCCCCGCCCCTCAGGGGCCCAGCGCAGCCCCACCTTGGACATGTTGAAGTTCCCCCGCACCACCGGCCACGTGGCGAGCTCCAGGTTGTCGCCCAGGCTCAGCCACAGGCCCAGCAGGAGCAGCAGGACCCTCCCCATCCTCGCTGCCAACGCCGGCCCGCCGCCCGGCCTTTATACCCCGCTCTGCTCCGCGGGCTCCCGCCCCGAGGGGCCGCCCGTCCACACACATCCTGTGACCACAGGGAACACAGCCGGAGGCCCCCGCTCACGGCCGCAGGATCAGAAGGCCAGACAGGGAAGTCGGGACAGGCGGGGGAGGACGCCGTCCCAGCCCCGGGGTCTTCCGTGTCCGTGGGCACAGGGCACCCGCCGCGCCTCACTGGAGGCGGCATCCTGGCCAGAGGCAGGGCAGCCACTCCGGCCGGCCGGGCGGGGACCCCGCGTGGCTGTGTGCACGGAGGGCGGGGGTCCTGCTACCCCTGGGCCTCTCCCCCCTCCTTCCTCCAGCCCTGCCTCCGGGCTCCCAGGCTGGGCACAGGGAGGTGCTTGGGGCCGGCTCCAATTTTGGGGGGCAATGGAGTCTCCTCCTGCGACGGCGGCGAGGGAGGGTGCTCTGGACAGTAACGGGGTCTCCCCTTTCTCGCGGCGCCCCTGGTCGCTGGGCCGTAGCTCCTGGCAGGAAGGCCAGGCCTCCAACGCTCTTGACGGGGGGTGGCATGTTGGGGTCAGACTGGCTGAAGGTCCTGGGAAGATGTGGGAGGTCCCAGGAGGGGAGGCGAGGGGGTCCTATCACGGGCAGGACCGGCTCCTCCAGCATCAAAAGTCCCCGGGGTGCAGCTGGCCACGCCCACGGGGTGTCCCCGGTCCATAATGGACAGGGAGGGAGGCTCGAGGCCTCACCCCTAGGGCGGAGCCCGCCCGACACCAGGGGCCCCTGGCACCAGGAACCTAGCAGATGCCAAGCGTGGGGGCTTGGGGACACGCCTGTCCCCCCACCCATGGTGGAGGTACCACGTTTCCCTGAAAATAAGACAGGGTCTTATATTTATTTTCCCTTAAGAAGACACCCTAGGGCTTATTTTCAGGGGATATGTTATTTTTTTTTCAGTAAGGTGCAATCATCTACATTTATTCAAATAGACTTAAGTCGTCTCCTTCTGGAACATTATCATGATTCTCCAGACCCTGAATTCCATCCTGAGTGTCTCTCGACTCTATTTCCTTTAGAACCATTGGCCCCAGTCTCTCCTGCCCAGCAATGGAGTTCTCACGGGGCAGGTGAGAAGGGCTGCTCATCTTCTCTGCCGCTCCCCGACGAAATGCACGGGTCGTGCAGATGCGCTGCGTAGCCACGGCCGTCACTAGGTCTTACTTTCGGGGTAGGGCTTCTACTGCGCACGTGCTTAGAAATCCTGCTAGGGCTTATTGTATGGGTAGGTCCTATTTTCAGGGAAACACGGTAGAAGCTGAGACTGCAGGTACGCGTGCACAGCCCTGGCCGGCACCTCTCGCCCCATCAGGACGTGGGGTGTTTCCTGCACCCCAGGAGGGTCCTCCAGGAGGGCACGGTGCTGCTTCTATCATCAGAAAACTTTGAGAAGCTGCCAGAACGTCGAGGCCCCCGGTGGCCTGCCTGAGGGTGCCCAGGTCTCCATGGTCAGTGGAGAGACCACGTCGTGGCCACGAGGAATCTACTCTGGTGGAGAAAGAGATTCCACTGCAGTTCCTCCCCTCAGCAGCTCCAGACTCCCGGCGTCTGGCCCGAGAGGGCTGGGGTGGCCTGGTCCCTCTCTGAGCTCAGGGTGGGGGGACCCTGGGGGAGGCCCGGGTGCTGTGTAACAGCCCCAGGGTGGGGGGATCCTGGAGGAGCCCTGGGTGCCGTGTGTGGAACAGCCCCAGGGTGGGGGGATCCTGGGGGAGCCCCGAGTGCCATGTGTGTAACAGCCCCAGGGCGGGGTGGGGGGATCCTGGGGGAGCCCCGGGTGCTGTGTGTGGAACAGCCCCAGGGTGGGGGGATCCTGGGGGAGCCCCAGGTGCTGTTTGTGGAGCAGCCCCAGGGTGGGGGGATCCTGGGGGAGCCCCGGGTGCTGTGTGTGGAACAGCCACAGGGTGGGGGGATCCTGGGGGAGCCCTGGGTGCTGTGTGTGGAACAGCCACAGGGCGGCGGTGGTGGTGGCAGGACCAACCCCTGCCTGGGCCGTGGACGTCTGTCCTTTTGGCCCCTGCTGTGACCCTGGCTTCACAGTCATTCCTGGGAAGCCAAAATCATTTTGACCAAACTCAGCCACCAGGTGACCGGGAAGTGCAGCGGCCCACGGCTCTCCTCTCAGCTGGATGAAGGAGCGGCCGGAGGCAGGGGCCCCAGCGGACCAGGAGGAGGAGAGCGGAACGGGAGCTTGGCCGTCGCCCCTCTCGTGTATTCTGCACCGGAGGAGCCGCCAAGGAGAGGAGAGGAAAGCAAGTGAGGAAGAGTGGCCATGGTCCTCAGGCGCCTGCGGGTTGGACCCGTAAGGAGGCCGGTGAGGGGCCGCGGAGCTGCACGGCCACGGGCTCCCGTGCTCGGAGCGCCAGTGTCTCCTCTCTGCGATCACAGAAACCGTGCCGGAGCGGGCCAGACCTGCAGGCAGAGGGCGCCGAGCTTCCCTAAGGGCCTGAAAGGACGTTGGCGGGAAGCGGGGGCTCTGCGTGCTGGATGGAGCCCCTACGGTGAAACGGTGAATGCCACAGAAGTCTGAGTTCTCTGCAGACGCGGCCTGCATCCCACGCGGCCTGCATCCCACACGGCCGCGACCGGGACGGAAGGTAGATGGTGACAGGTTGGAAAGAGCTGTCCCAGGCACAAGGGCGTGTGCACAGCCAGCTGGGCGGGGCGGGGGGGGGGGGATGTCCTGGCAGAGGGGAGGGGAAGGGACGAAAGAGAAGAGAGAAGGGGAGGAAAGGGAGAAGGGGAGGGAAGGGAGAAGGGAAGGGGAGGGGAGGGGAGGGAAGGGAAGGGAAAGGAAGGGGAGGGAAGAGAGAAGGGAAGGGGAGGGGAGGGAAGGGAAAGGAAGGGGAGGGAAGAGAGAAGGGAAGGGAAGGGATAAGGGAAGGGAAGGGAAGGGAAGGGAAGGGAAGGGAGAAGGGAAGGGGAGGGGAGGGGAGGGAAGGGAAGGGAAAGGAAGGGGAGGGAAGAGAGAAGGGAAGGGGAGGGGAGGGAAGGGAAAGGAAGGGGAGGGAAGAGAGAAGGGAAGGGAAGGGATAAGGGAAGGGAAGGGAAGGGAAGGGAAGGAAGAGAGAAGGGAAGGGAAGGGGAGGGGAGAGAAGGGGAGAAGAGGGCAGAGCAGGGCAGAGGGAACAGAAAGGCGAGGCACAGAGGCGCAGAGGTGGTACGTGGCCAGGCCCGGGCGGGGGTGGGGGTCGTCCGTAGCCTGGAGAGTGGCGCGTGACAGAGCAGGTGGCTGCCTTCACCCCCTGAGCAGTGGGAGGCCTGTGGAGGGTGGACCTGCTGAGCATTGGCCCTGAGTGACCCCCATGGACGGCCCTGGGTGTCGGGCCCCTGCCCACCCAGCTGCCCTGGGACCGTGCTCCTGGGTGTGGCCACAGAGCAGGCGTGCTCTCCGGGCCGTGCAGACAGGCCTCCCAGCCGCCGGACAGGGGCCTCTCAATGTCACAGGCAGCCAGAGGCTGGGTCTCGGCCTCCCGCCCCAGGTGGCCCCACCTGCAGCCCCTGGCTAGACGCAGGTGTGGCGCTGGGGACGCCTGATCTGGCTCCCGCACCCCCGGCTTCCTTTCTGCTGACACAGAGCAGCACTCAGACGGGCGTCTCTGAGCGTCACGATTCCCTTCTCTCAAACCAGGCGGAAGATCCGGCAGGTGGGTTCTGTCGTGGCCCATTTACAGGATGGAGGATGAACACAGAACACAGAACACAAACGCAGAACACACAGAAAAACGCGGACACACACACAGACGGTTGACTCGAGTCATAATACACTGGGTCAGTTTTATTTTTGTACTCTAAAAAATTAAAGTTAGTTCCTTGTACGTAACCACCCAGGCATTGCAGCAATGGCCATAAATTCTGGAATACCCTTAGGGAAGCAGACGTCCCCTGACTCAGAATTTCCAGGTGGTTGCTCTAGGCGCCAGGCATAGATAAAGGACCGAGATTAGCAAGGATGGGCAAGGTGAGCCTCAGGGGGCATTTCTCATCCCCAGCTTCTCTTAGGGTGACCCCCTAAGATCTTTGGCTGAACCTCGGCCGCTGTGCCTGGCTTAGGTCGCCCCTCCCTTGAGGGGTCTTACCCGTCATTGACTAACCAGCCATCTTATGGGGTGTACGCAGCAATCACAGGAACAATGTATTTATCGTGTGGCCTCCAGACCCCCAATGCCGTGGGGCAGAGCAGCTCTTGCTTACTTGCAACTCAGGTCCTTTGTTATGCCTCTAGGCAACAGCCTTGTTTATCACAAGAAGCTTGTCCGGAACAGATTACTTTCAAACGCTCAGGGAAGAACACGTACATTACTCACTAACTTTAATTCTTAAACTAGGAAAATATATGTCAGTCCCCTACAGGTTTTCCATGGCAGTGGCTGTCCTTGTCACCCGGAGTACAACCAGTGGCTCCTTCTGCCCCTTCCCTTGCTGGGCTCCCTAACGCAGGTCTGCAGGGTGCAGGTGTCCCCCGAGATTTCATCACCAGCGGACCCTTCCCGGCACACTCCCTCCCCACCGCCTGTCACTGCCCCTTCCCGCTCTCTGTGTCGGGAACACTTAAAGGCCCCCTGGCTGGCCAAGCGTGGTGGCGTTTGCAACTAACCGATCACAGCCTGTTACAGATTCCTTTGTTCCTTCTCCACTCCCACTGCTTCACCTGACCAGCCTTCAAATAAAAACAAAAGAAAGGTCTTCTATTTACTTATTCACAAGCTGCCTTCCCCCGTAGACTGTGAGCTGCATGAAGTAGGGGTGGGCAGGACCCCCAGAGTCCAGGGCTCTGCCTGAGTTCGGGACACAACAGTCGTGAATAAACAGGAAAGCGCGGGAGGGAGGAAGGAAGGGAGGGAGGGAGGGAGGGAGGAAGGGAGGGAGGGAGGGAGGGAGGGAGGGAGGGTGGGAGTAGACACAGCCACGGGGGAAGGTGTAAGAGGACCCCAGGCCCACAGTGGCTGGCAGTGGCCGTCCCCGGCTGGGCCCGCACCTAGGACCAGCTTCCCCCGGTGCCCTGGAGGTGCCACCCAAGGACCCTGCCAGGTGAGGCCGCAGGTGCAGGGTGTTTGCTGCCGGTCAGTTCCTGCCTGCGTCTCCTGCGCACCTGCCCCCCAGGCTCCTGCAGGGACTTCCCAGACAATGGGCAGAACCTGCGGGCAGGTGCGTCATTATGACGCTGGCAAGGTCCACGGAGCCCGGTGATGTCACCACCCACAGAAGACTCCGGGACCAGGGTCTTTGATCCAGACCCGAAGACATGCTGCTCGGGAAGTGCCTGTCCTCCTGGGCCGAGGCCGGCCGGCCCTCCTAGTCCCCCTGACCCAAGATACGGGGGCCCTTGCTGAGGGACAGAGCACAGCTCGCAGGCCGCAGTAAATCGGGTAGGGTCATCCCCTGGCCTTGACCTCTGGCAGGCAGACGGTGCTCAGAGGTGCAGCCAGGAACGTGCCAGGGGGACGCCAGGGAGGAGGGCGTGCCGCCGAGGGGGCTGGCGGATGGCCCTGTCTTCACCCCTCCTGTGGCATTTTGGATGATCCTGAATTTAAAAGGTGGTCGATTTCAAATTGCAGGAGCGCAAAACCGTGCCCGGCTGAAGCTCGCCCGGGACGGCCTCACACGGAGCACTGCCTGCTAGGGATGGGACGTGGGCCACGACCGTGATGCCCACCTTCCCAGTGGCCACGTTATAAAAGGTGAAAAAAAAACAGTGAGCAGATTCTCATCGTTTATTTTTATTTAACACGGTTTATGCAGACTGCACTCCCCAGACTCAGCATTTCGACACACAGTCAACGTGTTATATTCGAGATTCACAGGGCCGCAGGGCAGAGAGACAGAATCACCGAGGCTGTAATTATCAAAAAGAGTTTTATTGTCTAGCTCGAGCTAGGGTCCGAGCCCCCAGAGTGCAGCGCAGTGGTCTCATCTCCGGGCAGGGACCTTCCTTTGTATATTAGTCCCTTTTTTATAACTCAGTTGTTTATACACTGGTCATGCATCCGCCCCACAGAGATTCTTACTTCATGCTGCCCCTGATACGCTCTAACCTGTTCTCGCATCTAGCTGAAGGACCCCAGTTGCCGCATTCCTTTGTCTTTTTCTTCTGCATCCCATAATGTACTCATAATGCCTTGCGGTTAGCAAACAAGCAGTAAACAGAAGCTAGAAGGTGTCCATTGTACTTACAGTGTAGTATCGTACTAACGTAAAATTATCAGCGAGCTGTTTAGATTCTATTCTCTCATGCAGTGTGTCCCCGAGACCCAGTATGTTATGCACACTTGCGGCCCCTACGTCCCAGGCTGCGGGTGCCTAACCCTAACCCTAACACTCTAACCCTAACCCTCTAACTCTAACCCTAACCCTCTAACCCTAACCCTAACGATCTAACCCTAACCCTAACCCTCTAACCCTAACCCTAACTCTCTAACCCTAACCCTAACCCTCTAACCCTAACCCTACCCTCTAACCCTAACCCTAACCCTCTAACCCCAACCATAACCCTCTAACCCTAACCCTAGCCCTAACCCACTAACCCTAACCCTAACCCTCTAACCCTAACCCTCTAACCCTAACCCTCTAACCCTAACCCTCTAACCCTAACCCTAACCCTCTAACCCTAACCCTCTAACCCTAACCCTCTAACCCTAACCCTAACCCTCTAACCCTAACCCTCTAACCCTAACCCTCTAACCCTAACCCTAACCCTCTAACCCTAACCCTCTAACCCTAACCCTAACCCTCTAACCCTAACCCTAACCCTCTAACCCTAACCCTCTAACCATAACCCACTAACCCTAACCCTAACCCAATAACCCTAACCCTAACCCTCTAACCCTAACCCTAACCCTCTAACCCTAACCCTAACCCTAACCCACTAACCCTAACCCTAACCCTCTAACCCTAACCCTCTAACCCTAACCCTCTAACCCTAACCCTAACCCTCTAACCCTAACCCTAACCCTCTAACCCTAACCCTCTAACCCTAACCCTAACCCTCTAACCCTAACCCTAACCCTCTAACCCTAACCCTAACCCTCTAACCCTCTAACCCTAACCCTAACCCCCTAACCCTAACCCTAACCCTAACCCTAACCCTAACCCTAACCCTCTAACCCTAACCCTAACCCACTGTGGCTGGTGGCTGCCACGCCGACCAGTGCAGAACCGATGCCTGCGTACAGACCTGAGCTACCAGAGAGCCCCGATGTCTTCAGCACAAAACTCAGAGGCGCTGCCCGCAGGCCGTCCACACACAAGCACGCAAAACTCCTGCGCCAGCTCAGGGTGCTGGCTGAGCCAGAAAGTCCGTTTTAGAGCTTAACGCCTTCCACTGAGACTTCACTCCCTGCTGGCGAGCCCCTACCTTTGAGAACACTCACACACTTTTATTTTTTATTTTTTTTTGAGACAGAGTCTCACTCTATTATCCGGGCTAGAGTGCCGTGGTGTCAGCCTAGCTCACAGCAACCTCAAATTCCTGGGCTCAAGCGATCCTCCTGCCTCAGCCTCCCGAGTAGCTGAGACTACAGGCATGTGCTACCATGCCCGGCTAATTTTTTCTACATATTTTTATGTTGGCCAATTAATTTCTATTTTTAGTAGACACGAGGGAATCTCACTCTTGCTCAGGCTGGTCTCGAACCCCTGACCTCGAGCGATCCTCCCTCCTCGGCCTCCCAGAGCACTAGGATGACAGGCGTGAGCCACCGCGCCCGGCCTACACTCACACGCTCTTAGACTAGTGTGATCCTGGGACAAATTACCCGTCTTACTATCTCTGTGAGGAAGAAAAGATGAAAAGTCAACTTGGGGGCCAAAATTCGTTCTCTCCCAGTGCAGGAAGTCGCCCTCGCCAGGACCTCGTTCCATGTTCACAGTCAGTGAGTTTCTCCCGCCTGGCCGAGGTCTGCTTGGCAGGCTCACGGGCACCAGACACTCGGAGGGCACCCGCCCGGCCTCGGGGAGCAGCCCGCACCGTGGGACCTTGAGGCAGAGCTGACGCTACCCCCGCACACCCTGGGCATCTCCCAAAGGCTGAAGGTTCTAGAAGCACGCCCTTAGGTTGGAGTCCTAATGCCTATCCATTAATCTGTTGTTAGAAGGTCACAAAGTCGTGGTTTTTTTACTGCTGAAAGTCTACTTTTTTCTCCCTTTTCCCCAGGAGACAATGAATTATAAAAGAAGGATGCTGTTACTGATCTCGTCTACTTTATTGCTGATCTTGGTGGACCGTCATTTCAGGTGAGTATGAAATATTGATGAATCGTCATGACCTTTAGCAATTGGCAGAGATGACCTACACCACTGAGTTTTGTCCAGAGATATTAATAACTGTCTCTAAATTAATCAGGAGTTACCTGCTGTTTCTGGGACAAAGCAAAGGAGATATATATATATATTTTTTTTTTTTTTTTCTTTTTTGCGACAAGGTCTCACTCTGTTGCCTGGGCTAGAGTGCCGTGGCGTCAGGCTCGCTCACGGCAACCTCAAACTCCTGGGCTCAAACGATCCTCCTGCCTCAGCCTCCCGAGTAGCTGGGACTACAGGCACATGCCACCATGCCTGGCGAATTTTTTCTGTATATTTTTAGTCGGCCAATTAATTTCTTTCTATTTTTAGTAGATACGGGGTCTCGCTCTTGCTCAGGCTGGTTTCAAACTCCTGACCTTGAGTGATCCTCCCGCCTCGGCCTCCCACAGTGCTGGGATTACAGGCGTGAGCCGCTGCGCCTGGCCAAGGATATATATTTTAATTCTTTGGTTTTAAACATGCAACAATGATTAATCTTCCCGGTGCCGGTCTCTGACCTGGGTGTGGGGACAAGGAGTGCCCACAGCCCCTGCCTCTCGAGCTCTGCGTGCTGGTGGGGCAGGCTGAGAACAGACAGACGTGAAATGCAATGCCAAGGGTATCGTGCTTTGTAGCATAAATGCCGTAGAAAATAAAGCAAGGTGAGAATGCTATTTTAGATAAATTATGAGCTTTCTCGAAGTTCCATCTTCGTGTCTAATGTAGACAAGACTGAAATCAGCCTGCTCTCTCTCTCTCTCTCTCTCACACACACACACACACACACACACACACATGTGTGCCGGAGGGTGAATCTGCCAACCTGCGAAACAACGCTCTCTAGAGAAATTCAAATTCTTCCTCCCACCTGACGGTCTCCTATGTAAATAAGCAAGGCAGTCTTTCCGGACGCTGTTTGAAGAGTAGCTGTATTGTGAGGGATAACGCCTCCAACAACCAAGCCTTTGCCCAGCACGTACCTGATAGGGGACTTACCTCGAAAATATGCAAACCGCCTTTACATCTCAACAAGAAGGAAACGAACGACCCAGTTTCAAAAAACGGGTGAAAGAACCGGGACAGACACCTCTTACCCTGGAGAGGACACAGGTGGAAAATGTCAACGGAAAAAAGCCAAACTCTGCAAAATAATTTTAAAGAGATTTATTCTGAGCCAAATTTGAGGACCATGACCCGGAGCCACTGCCAAGAGGCCTTGGGCAAGTGGACTCGCTGTGGCTGGGTTACAGTTTGGTTTTTATGCATTTTAGAGACAAGGGTTACGGGTAAAGCCATCAATCAATATGTGGGAGGCAGACATTGGTTTGGCCCAAAAAGGAGGGCCATCTCGAAGCGGGGGCTTACAGGTTATAGGTGGGTTTAAAGATTCTTTAGATTGTAATTGGCTAAAGACATGGAGCTTTGTCTAAAGACTTGGAATGGTCTCTCTTTGCCCCTCCTTTTACTGGCCATGCTGTGATGACGGGTCCGGTCATCATCTGTGGTGTACGTAATCCTATATCTTGCTCTTGCCCAATAATCCTATCTTTCTCTCCTCAGTGAACCTCATTTTCGAGCTTGCCTAACTTTGGCGTGTCTGGTCATTCTTTGGCCATGAGCGCGCCAGGAACAGACATTCCAAACTGAAACCTAACACTTGCAAGACATCTGCCCTTCCACCTAAGCTTTGAATCCCACCCTCTCTTCCCCCGGAATCTCACATCATCAGTTATTCCTTCTCTATGTCAATTTTTTTTTTTAACATTTCCCCATCTACTGGCTTCTTCCCGTTGACGTTGACCAGGTGCCTCCCAGCTTCAGGGAAAGCAGCTGATCTTTGGCTCTACTCACTCCCCTCCAGGTATCCTGCATCCTCTTTCCACAGGCAACCTTATCAAACCACCGAAGTTATTTTCCTTTACTCTTTCTATTCCCCTACTACAGTTATCTTTAGCTCACTCTGTCCTCTGCTTTAAGTATATCCCAGAAACAGTCCTCAAATAAAAATAATAAAAATAAAGACTTGGAATGTTTTAACATAAACTGTCTACCAGAGGTAAGCCACCATTTGTTGCATAAATTGAGGACCTGCAGGTTTGTCTTGCATACCCTTAGGCCTGTTAATGGGTTACAAAGGAAGTCCCCAAGGAGGGAGGGGGGCATGATGAGGCCTGTCTGACCTCCCTCCTCTTAGGATATTCCTTTGGCCACGAGGGGGTCCATTCAGTCAGCCGGTGGGGGGTAGTGGTGGTGGTGGTGAGCATTTTAGTTCACAAAAATAAGATGTAAAAAGATGCTTGGCACGCACCATTCCTCATGAGGGAATCACAGACTAAAACAATGGGGTGACGCCACATCCTCCGTGGAACGGCCAGCATCTAGCAATGTAACGTCCGAACACCCATTGCTGCTGGGGACACAGCCGGGGCCTGGCCCCGGGCCTGGGGGCTTCCTGCTCGAGGCTGCCCTCCCCACTTTGTCCCTGGGTAGAGGGCCAGCGCCAGACAGCGCCCGCGCGGCCGGACGGCACTCAGCCAGTGAGTGCTGAGCGCGACGGTGCCTCGAAATAACCTGATATCCTCCCTTTGTACCTAGGAAGCAAGAAGAACTTCAGCTCTCAGACTGGTTCACACCCAGGTGAGAATGAAAGGCTGTCATGTGCATGCAGAAATGATAGGTCTCAGTTTGAGGTGATAAGTCCCCCCCCCCCACACACACACACACACACGCGCCAAGTTACAGCTGTCCTGGGAGGTTCCAGAATTGGAGTTCTTGTTTTCAAGGCTCCTCTATACAAACCTAGGGTCTGGGCCGGGCGCGGTGGCTCACGCCTGTAATCCTGGCACTCTGGGAGGCCGAGGCGGGCGGATTGCTCGAGGTCAGGAGTTCAAAACCAGCCTGAGCGAGACCCCGTCTCTACTAAAAATAGAAAGAAATCAATTGACAAACTAAAAATATATATATATAAAATTAGCCGGGCATGGTGGCGCGTGCCTGTAGTCCCAGCTACTCGGGAGGCTGAGGCAGGAGGATTGCTTTAAGACCAGGAGTTTGAGGTTGCTGTGAGCTAGGCTGACGCCACATCACTCACTCTAGCCTGGGCAACAAAGCGAGACTCTGTCTCTAAAAAAAAAACACCTAGGGTCTGTTTATGGAGAACCGGGCAATGGCGATGGTTATGGAGAAGCTGACACACCCTGCCTGGCTGAACTCTCCTGGTGTGGTCAGTGAACGAGAATCTCTTTGGAAATAGCACGAAAATGCCACAGGGAGGACTCTTGATTTTGGAGCCCAGCCGGGGTGGCGGTTTATCCTTTGTTATGGTGGTAGTGTTCTGTGTGGTGTGGACCACAATATTCAACCACTTCCCTAAGGGGTTTACAATTGTTTATAGTTGGGGGCTATTGTAAACGAAGTCCTGGCGAATAACCTCGAACATGTTTTTGTACACCCATGTGTGGGAAACATTCTGAAAATGGGGTCAGTAGGTCAGAGTGTGTAGCCATTTAAACTTTTGATGTGGAGTTAAAACTGTGAAATTTCCCTTTAATAACTGTGCCCTGGCCGGGCGCGGTGGCTCACGCCTGTAATCCTAGCTCTCTGGGAGGCTGAGGCGGGCGGATTGCTCAAGGTCAGGAGTTTGAAATCAGCCTGAGCAAGAGCGAGACCCCGTCTCTACTATAAATAGAAAGAAATTAATTGGCCAACTAATATATATAGAAAAAATTAGCCGGGCATGGTGGCGTGTGCCTATAGTCCCAGCTACTCGGGAGGCTGAGGCAGGAGGATTGCTTGAGCCCAGGAGTTTGAGGTTGCTGTGAGCTCGGCTGACGCCACAGCACTCACTCTAGCCTGGGCAACAAAGCGAGACTCTGTCAAAAAAAAAACAACAAAAAACTGTGCCCTTTTATTTCCTCACCTGCAGCCGCTAAGCTAAAGTATCATCGAGGCTTCTATTCTGGGCGTAACTGCTGGTTAGAATATCTCAATTCAGTTTGCATTTCTATCATTGTTACTGTTCGAACATCTTTTTATGTGTTTACCATTCATTTCGCATTTTGCACATTCCTGTTTCCCCGGTGTATTTCCAACAGACCCCTGGGGACACAGAATCAGACTGGCCGTAACCGGTCATTGCTTGTCCGAGTAACACCTGCTCTGGGTGCTCATGTTTGTTTGCGTGTTTTTAATGAGACAGAAACCGGAACCTTCCACACTCACCACGGCCCATCCTGAACCCTGGCGATCGGGAGAATGATCCTGGTTGGTCACACTCCCGCTTTCCGGCTTATACAATTCTATCCCGTCTATGTTATTCTGGAAAGGCCCATTTAAAAATGTTGGTGGCTCATGACTCTAGCAAGAGGATCTCCTGCTTAGAGTCTCCTGGGACTCGCCTCATCCCTTAATGCAAGCGTCTTCAAACCACGACCCTCGGGCCACATGCAGGTGTTTTTTGCCCATTTGTGTTTTTTTTGTTTGTTTGTTTTGGTTTTTTTTGCTTCAAAATAAGATATGTGCAGTGTGCACAGGAATTTCTTCATAGTAATTTTTTAAACTGTAGTCCAGCCCTCCGACGGTCTGAGGGACAGAGAACTGGCCCCTGTTTAAAAAGTTTGAGGACCCCTGCCTTAACGAAACGTTGCTAAGATTCACCCAGATTTTGCGTGTCGCCGCAACTCATCTGACAGCTGTGTGACCAATCCGGTGTGGAGCTACCCCAGCTTATTTCCCACTGTCCGGCTCACGGTATTTCGGTTCTTTTTGCTATCATGGATAGTGCTGCTACAGACACCCTCAGCATTCTCGTCGTAAGAGAGAGCGAGATTTGGGTGCGGTCAGAGCCGTGGGCTGTCGGTGCCTGTGGGTGCCCAGCGTGGGAGACAGAGCCCGTCTCAGCCTGGCCAGGCTGCTGTGACAGAGCACCGCGGACAGACCGGGTGTCTCTTTGTAACAACAGGAATTTATTTCTCACGGTTCTGGAGGCTGGAGGTCCAAGGTCAGGTGCCGGCGGGGTCACCGTCTGGTGAGAACTCCCTTCCCGGCCGGCAGACAGCCGCCTTCCTGCTGCGTCCTCAGGTGGCAGAGAGAGAGAGAGAGAGGGCGTGAGCGCTCCTTCGATACGGGCGCTAACCCCACCCCGAGGGCTCCAGCCTCACGACCTCATTAACTCCCGAAGGCCCCACCTCTAAATGCCGTCACAGCGAGGATTAGGGTTTCAGCATACAGATTTTGGGGGGGGGGATGTTCCCAAGTAGTGTGCCGGTGTGAATTCCCAAAGGTCTCCCCGTTCTTTGATGCCGGAGCTGCCAAAAGAGCGGACATAAGAAGTATCTCTTGAGTTGTATCAGGAAAAATGACGGAGAAGGATCTCTACTATTCCCTAGTCCATCAAACCCATGAGAAAACGGGCAGTAACAGTCAGAATCACCGTTGCCAGAGCTCTGGGAATTAGCTGAAGGCTTGCAGCAATCTGGGGGCCCCGTGCTGAGCTGGATCTCAGTGAGGATGGCGGGATTTTCAGCATTTTAACTTGTATCTTCTATATAGACAATCGAGTGATCTGCCGGTAGGGACAGCATTATGTTTCCCTTTCCGATCTGCTGCCTTTTATTTCATTTTTCTTGTCTTATTGCAGTGGCTACAACTTGCATTACTGTGTTAGAATGTCTCATCTTCCTGATTGTAGGGAGAAAGCTCTCACTCTTGCACCGTTTAGTACGTTGGTGTTTTTGCAGGTGTTCTTTACCAAGTTGAAGCGACTCCCCTCTATTCCTGTTTGCTCCTGAGAGATTCTATCACAGATTGGGTATTGGACTCTGTATCATGCTTTCTCTGCATCATGGGGCGTGGACACGCGACTGTTCTCTAGCTTTTTTTTTTTTTTCTTTGAGACAGAGTTTCATTTTGTTGCCTAGGCTAGAGTGAGTGCCGTGGTGTCAGCCTAGCTCACAGCAACCTCAAACTCCTGGCTCAAGCGATCCTCCTGCCTCAGCCTCCCGAGTAGCTGGGACTACAGGCATTTGCCACCATGTCCGGCTAATTTTATATATATATATTAGTTGGCCAATTAATTTCTTTCTATTTATAGTAGAGACGGGGTCTCGCTCTTGCTCAGGCTGGTTTCGAACTCCTGACCTGGAGTAATCCGCCCGCCTCAGCCTCCCAGAGTGCTAGGGTTACAGGCGTGAGCCACTGCGCCTGGCCTGTTCTCTAGCTTTTGACCTGGCTGTTTCCACAGATTGATTTTCATGTGTGTGGAACTGGTCTTGCATAATTTGAATACTGTTGTTGTTGTTTTATTATTATTTTTATTTTGTGAGACAGAGTCTCACTCTGTTGCTTAGGCTAGAGTGCCGTGGCATCAGCCTAGCTCACAGCAACCTCAGACTCCTGAGCTCAAGCGATCCTCAGCCTCCCGAGTAGCTGGGACTACAGGCGTGTGCCACCATGCCTGGCTAATTTTTTTCTATATATTTTTAGTTGGCCAATTAATTTCTTTTTATTTTTTAGTAGAGACGGGGGTCTCGCTCTTGCTCAGGCTGGTTTCGAACTCCTGACCTTGAGGGATCCTCCCTCCTCAGCCTCCCAGAGAGCCAGGATCACAGGTGTGAGCCACCCTGCCCGGCCAAGTTTTATTATCATTATTGAAAGCAAATTCTCTCCCTTTTTGGACTCGTCTTCTCATTTCTGCTGTACCGCACGGGTGGCTGAAGGTGTGAGGGAGAAGGTGAGAAAGGGCACTCCTAGAAACGTCCGGGAAAAGGGGAGGGAGAGAAAGAAAGAGGGAAAACAACGGGATCGCTAGGGAGGCAGCGTCGGGCCCAGCCCTGGCTCCGGGAGACGCCGGGGCAGGGCCAGCTCTGGGCCACCTCGTTCTGAGCCGCGGTGAAAGCTCAGCAGACACAGTAGCTCCTGGGCTCACAGGGACATCGCCAGGGGGGACGAGTGATCTAGAGCTCAGACGCGGGTCCTGCCCGCGGAGGCGGCTGCTCTCCACGCGGTGGGTAGGGGTGGCCGCCGCTGCCTTCCCGAAGCCACCCCCGTCTGCCTCAATTCTTGCTTGCTCCGCAGTAATCGCTTTGATGTCATCACGACCACGGACTGGCTGGCTCCGGTCATATGGGACGGGACTTTCGACAGAGAGGCCCTGGAGAAGCATTACAGAGGGCGGAACATCACCGTGGGCCTGGCTGTCTTTGCTACCAGCAGGTGGGTGCCGCTGGCCTCTGCCTTTTTTATTTAGGGAACATGGGGACATACACACCGGGGGCCCTTCCACCTTTGGGCAAGGCGCCGTAACCAACGGCAACCATGGCCGTGCTCTCCCTAGGCAGAGTCTGCTGCCGCTGTTTTCTCCGCCCCTTGGGAACCTGCCGACTGATGCCCGAGGACTCTCGCTCCGTTTCCTCACGCATGTCAGCGGTCCCCAGCTGCCGGGGCCACGCCCAGGCCTGCGGGGGCCACGATCTCACGCACCGGGAATTCTTTTTCCTTTTTTTTTTCTTAGAGTCTCGCTCTGTCGCCCGGACTAGAGTGCCGTGGCGTCAGCCTAGCTCACAGCAACCTCCAACTCCTGGGCTCAAGCGATCCTCCTGCCTCAGCCTCCCGAGTAGCTGGGACTACAGGCATGCACCACCATGCCCGGCTCATTTTTTCTATATATTTTTAGCTGGCCAATTAATGTCTTTCTATTTCTAGTAGAGACGGGGGTCTCGCTCTTGCTCAGGCTGGTCTGGAACTCCTGACCTCGAGCGATCCTCCCGCCTGGGCCTCCCAGAGTGCAGGGATGACAGGCGTGAGCCACCGCGCCCGGCCTCACCGGGAACTCTCTGGCCTCCCGGGGCCTGTTCCGGCCGGCCGGGCAGTGCGTTCCGTTCCTCGGCGTCCCCTCTCCCGGGAAAGTAAGTGGGGACTGGCGAGCCTCTCTCTCTCTCTCTCTCTCGCTCCCTCCGTGCGCCGTTTCTTCGCAGGGTCTCAGAGAAGTACGTGAGGACCTTCCTGCTGTCGGCGAACAGGCACTTCATGCCGGGCCACAGAGTGATCTTCTACGTCCTGGCGGGCGCCCTCTTCAACCGGCCGGACGTGGTGCTGGGCCCGCGGCGCTCGCTCCGGGTGCTGCCGGTGGGCAGGGAGAGCTGGTGGTTCGACGCGAACCTGGTGCACATGAGGAGCCTGGGGGAGTACATCGTGGGCCGCATCCAGGCCGAGGTGGACTTCCTCTTCAGCATGACGCCCAACCAGGTGTTCCAGCACGAGTTCGGGGTGGAGGCGCTGGGCGCGTCCGTGGCCCAGCTCCACCCCTGGTGGTACTTCAGAGACGCCAAGGACTTCCCCTACGAGCGGAAGCCCGGCTCGGCGGCCTACATCCCCTTTGGGCAGGGGGACTTCTACTACGACGGCTCCCTGGTGGGCGGCACGCCCCTCCACGTCCTCAGCTTCATCGAGAAGTACCTGTACGGGGCCACCCACGACGTCCAGAAGGGGCTCAACAGCACCTACGAAAAGCACCTGAACAAATACTTCTTCCTGCACAAGCCCACCACGGTGCTGTCGCCCGAGTACAACTGGGACGCCGCCTTCTACCCGCCGGCCCAGGTGCACTACGTGCGGGTGGTGCACCACTCGGGGAGGAAGCTGGACGACCCGCCCGGGTTTCGCGAGGACTGGTAGGCGCGCCCCGGCGGGCGGCGGGGGACGACGCGCCTCCTCACCCTGCGTCTCCCAGAGGCGAGAGAACCCACGCCCTTCCGAAACGCACGCCCCTTCCTCCCGCGGGCCGCGAGCCGCCCAGGCCAGCCAGTGCCGGGCAGAGCGGCAGCGCCCCTGCGCCTGACGCCACTGTGTACACGCCGTGGGCAGCGTGGGGGTACTTCCCGCGTGGAAGGGACTTTATTTTTTTATTTAACGTTCACAGCGTGGGAAAGTGCTGATATGCGAAGGGGGAAAATAAATCTTAGCTCCTCTGCAAACAAACGTGCAGCCGGCTTCACAGCGTTGGGGGGGCGAGGGGGACGGCCGCGCCCTTGTGTCCCCCTGCGCTGTGCACCCAGTGAGTCCACAGAGGGATCCAGCAGGCACTCATCTTAGTGGGGTTTTTTTAGACATTGTCTCTCTGCTAGAGTGCCGTGGCGTCAGCCTAGCTCACAGCAACCTCACACTCCTGGGCTCAAGCGATCCTCCTGCCTCAGCCTCCCGAGTAGCTGGGACTACAGGCATGCGCCACCATGCCTAATTTTGTCTATAAATATTTTAGTTGGCCAATTAATTTTCTTTCTATTTTAGTAGAGACGGGGTCTTGCTCTTGCTCAGGCTGGTTTTGAACTCCTGACCTCGAGCAATCCTCCCACCTCGGCCTCCCAGAGTGCTAGGATTACAGGCGTGAGCCACCTCGTCCGGTCCTCCTAACCTGCCCTTTTTTGTTTTGTTTTGTTTTTTGAGACAGAGTCTCACTTTGTTGCCCAGGCTAGAGTGAGTGCCGTGGCGTCAGCCTAGCTCACAGCAACCTCAAGCTCCTGGGCTCAAGCGATCCCCCTGCCTCAGCCTCCCGAGTAGCTGGGACTACAGGCGAGTACCACCATGCTCAGCTAATTTTGTCTCTCTATATATTAGTTGGCCAATTAATTTTCTTTCTATTTTTTAGTAGAGATGGAGTCTTGCTCTTGCTCAGGCTGGTTTTGAACTCCCGACCTTAAGTGATCCTCCTGCCTCGGCCTCCCAGAATGCTAGGATTACAGGCGTGAGCCACCTCGTCCGGTCCTCCTGATCTGCCCTTTTGATGAGGACACCAGTCACACTGGATAAAGGACCCCCCCACACACACTTGTAACCTCTGTAAGGTCTCCAAACACGGCCACGGCCTGGGCTGCGGGGCGCGGCATGGCTCACCCTCCACACCCGCTGGGGCTGTCCAAGCTGCTCCCCACAGCTCGTCGGGTCCTGGACACTCTCCCTCCGTGGCCGCAGCTGCCGTGAACCGAGATTTCCTGACCGACACCCCGAGCTCAAGGCCTGGCCTTGTCACTGCCCACACGCTTAGACACGCAAAGAAAGTGCTGCAGCCTCAGCCCCCGCTAGACTGTGGCTGCTAAAGACACAGCCATGTTCCGGACACTTCTGTCCCCAAGCACTGCTGGCAGAGGGCCTTTGCCACGGAGGAGGGTAAATCTCTCTGCTTTAGATAAAATAAAGCGCCCGTGGCTTTAAGACGACAACCCATCATCTGTCTTTGTAACAGCAAAATTAAGCTGAGGCCGGCGCGGTGGCTCACGCCTGTAACCCCGGCACTCCGGGAGGCCGAGGCGGGAGGATCGCTCGAGGTCAGGACTTCGAGACCAGCCTGAGCAAGAGCGAGACCCCGTCTCTACTGAAAATAGAAAGAAATTAACTGGACAACTAATATATATAGAAAAAACTAGCCGGGCATGGTGGCGCATGCCTGTAGTCCCAGCTACTCAGGAGGCTGAGGCAGGAGGATCGCTTGAGCCCAGGAGATTGAGGTTGCTGTGAGCCAGGCTGACGCCAGGGAACTCACTCTAGCCTGGGCGACAAAGCGAGACTCTGTCTCAAATAAAAAAAGAAGGGCAGATCAGGACACTGGCACCCACGGGGGCGGGCTGGGGGTGGGGGAGAGCAGGCCCAGCCCCGCCCACGCCCTGGTCGCAGCGGTCCGGCCTCCAGGACCGGCAGAGGTGGCTCCTGTCTGAGCCACACCCTGTGTGCCTATTCCTTCCAGCAGCCCCGGGGGGACTAACGCAGGACACAACCCCAAAAATCAGGGCCACTGAAACGCCTGGTTGGTGGCGCTGGCCGCCGTGCTGTCCTCCCAGCAGCCCCCTGAGCGCAGGCCGGACCCGGAGCCAATCCAGGAGTCCTCTCTGGCCGCTGCCGCTGGCCTCCCTCCTGCTCCCAGTTCGTGGCGAGGACCTGCGTGTGGGGGGGGGGCTCGCCCCGCCCTTCTCCGCACTTTGTCTCCTTTGGCTAAAATGAGATGACGTTTCAGAGGAGCTCTCGGTTCTAAAGAATCTATGCGTGTTTCGGAAGGGAGACAACAGATAAGATATCGGCCACAGACCCTCTGTCGGCCATATCCGTGATCAGCAGTCCGGGGCCAGGTCTGGACGTGGGGGGCGGGGGTGGGGGAAGACCCTACCACTCGGGACAAAGCTAGCTTTTGCTGCCAATGTACGGATGAGGCTAGAAAACTCACCGAGAGGGTTCCTGAAATTTGACCACTAAAAAAACCATGGGCTCAATGTTAAAACATTATAAAATCCTTGATATATTGGGGAGGACGGCGGGTGACCCCAACTCTAATGCTTAAGAGTTTCCCCCGGGGCAGAGAGCGAGCCCAGGTAGGAGACTCACGGAACCTGGTCACCGCCCCACGGTGGACGCTAATTCACTTTCTAAACTTTAATTTGCCACGTTGCTAAGCAACAAAAGCATCTCTTTTTTATTATTATTATTACTTATGAAGCCAAATCTTTTAAATTATATTTCCCGGCCTTTAGACCTGTGCATGCAAATAGCCTTTTTCTGTCTTCTGCTCCTTTTTTCTAATGCTTCTTTTGTCCTTGGAGGATTCTGATGTGTGTACTCAGGCCGTGGCCGGGAGCCTCGGTCAGGTTTGCTGCAGAAATTATCTCTTGTCATCAATTGCTTTTTTTTTTTTTGAGACAGAGTCTCACTCTGTTGCCCTGGCTAGAGTGCTGTAGCGTCAACCTAGCTCACAGCAACCTCAAACTCCTGGACTCAAGCAATCCTCCTCCTCGGCCTCCCGAGTAGCTGGGAACACAGGCATGTGCCACCATGCCCGGCTAGTTTTATTTATATATATATATATATATATTTTTTTTTTTTTTTTTAGTTGTCCAGCAAATTTCTTTCTAATTTTTTAGTAGAAACAGGGTCTCACTCTTGCTCAGGCTGGTCTCGAACTCCTGAGCTCAAACGATCCACCCACCTCGGCCTCCCAGAGTGCTGGGATTACAGGCGTGAGCCACCGCGCCCGGCCCCATCAATTGCTTTTAACTTTGTTGGTGCCGTCTCTGACATCACCAGAGCTTAAAGCTTTCGTAGCTGCCGTCTCCCCCCCTGCAGTGTTACAGAAATTCCCCTCCCCGAGTCACAGAAATTGTAGAACTTCACGTTTTCTTTTTATTCAGAATGAGGAATCACTTTAAGACAATATGCTAGGTGACATATCTAACCTCGTCTTTCCCCTACATGTCTTGTTCATTTCCTCCGACACGATTTTCATGGGATAAATACGCTCTTCTCGAAGGGCTGCCGTGTGTAATGTTGGGGTTTCCCGCCGGGCTGTGTCCGTCCCCCGACTCCCTGTCCGTTTCCCGGACTTTGTGCTGGTTTCCCCGGCCTGGCGGTCCCCAAGCTGCCGCCATCGCCGTCACGGTTCCACAGGAGGGCGGAATCCTGCGTCCACCCGCATCACTCTTCTTCTTAGAACGTGTTGACACTTTTTATTCCCTCCTGTAAATTTTAGATTCAGCTTTTCAGGTTCAGGGGGAAAATCCCACTGGAATATTGACTGAACCGCTTCAAGTGTGTAGATCGATTTGCGGGTGATTAGGTCCGTGCTGTTGGGGAGTCACGGAAATTCGAGAGCTCGGTTCATTGGAGTCAGTCAGTGCCGGGAACCGGCCGCTTCTCACCGTCCTCATACGGGTTCCCTGAGTCTCTCGCTAAGTGGATGGGCAGGTACCGTGTTTCCCCGAAAATAAGACAGGGCCTTATATTTATTTGTCCTCAAGAAGACACCCTAGGGCTTATTTTCAGGGGATGTGTTATTTTCCCCTCAAAGCCTCAGCTTGCAGCACGCACAGGATGGCCGGGACCCGACAGGGGGAGCTGACCTTGTTGGTGGGGCTGCCCGCACCCTTCCAGTCACCTCTGGGGTAGCAGCTGTCACGACGGGGCGGATGAGAAGGGCTGCTCATCTTCTTTCCCGCTCCGCGACGACATGCACGGGTTGTGCAGACGCGCTGCGCAGCCACGCCCGTCACTAGGGCTTATTTTCGGGGTGGGGCTTCTATTGCGCACATGCTTAGACATCCTGCTGGGGCTTGTTTTATGGGGAGGTCTTATTTTCGGGGAAACACGGTACTTGTCGTTTCCCTCACGTGTTTCCGGCTGGACTCGCCGGTTTGCGGGAAGCGACGGTGAGTCTCGTGTGATTTGTGACCACGCCCCTCGCCTGCTGGCCGGGTTTGTGTCGCCGAGGTGGATCATGGTGGGAAAGGTTTTGCCGAAGGGCGGCGTCACTAGGGCGTTTTCCGGGCAGCGTCTGGCTGTGCCTGTCTCAGCCTCTCCCAGAGGGTGAGCACCCAGGCCGTGACCCGGTTTCTCAGGGCCTGTCCTGCCGGGCCCCGGCGCAGGAGTGGCCCCGGCTCCAAGGTGTGGCCTCGTGTCTGCTCACCTGCGCACAGGTGCACAGCCCTGACGCGCACGGCTGACGCCCCGGCCCTCGCCGAGGCTGCTCTGCCTATGACACGTTCCTGAGGAGCCTGGGGGCCCCTCCTCACCCCACCCCCAGGTGTTCTTCAAGCCTGTGGACCAGGCTGGAGGACAGCGCCAGTCCCTTGGCTGTTGGTGACAGGACCCGGTGACCCACAGGGAGGAGGAGCCCTTCCCAGCAGGGGTAGGGACAGAACAGAGGCTCCAGACGGACGGGGCCAGGCGGGAGGGCCCAGGAGGCGGCTGGACTAGACCCGGGGAGGGGGACACTGGCCTGCGGGAGGAAGAGGAAACGCGGGTGATCTCCATTCGTTCATTTTGAAATCGATCAATCATCCGCCACGCAGGACAGAACAGACCGTGGCCGGGACCACCCGGCCCCTGCTGTCCAGCCCCCCACGGGGCTGTGTCCCCCTAGTCCTCACGGGACCCCCAGGCCCCACCTGCCCTTGGACTTTGCCCCACTCCCACCCCACCACCCGCTCCGGCCGCCATGCCAG